CAATAATATGCAGCTTAACAAATCGTACAATCATTTCTGTCATAAGTCCAAGGTTCTTGTTAGTCATCTTGCTTATGTGGATGATGTTACTCTTTTCTCTAACGCCAATAAATCTACCATCAAGGTGTTGATGAGGGTTCTTGAGGAATTTCAACAAGCTTCTGGGTTACGGTTTAACAAAGAAAAATGTAATTTTTTCTTTAGGAAGGATGTTAAAAGCTCAGTTGCTTCTTGGGCTATTCTTTCACTGGCTTTCACTCCGCCTCTCTTTTGAGAGGGCGTAGGAAGCAAACCCAATTAGATTAGGTGGTTGAAATGATCAAAAATAAAATTAATGATTGGAGGAATATATTTCTTTCTAATGGGGGTCGCCTCACCTTACTTAAAAGTATTTTATTTAGCATTCCTTTGTATGTCTTGCAAATTCTTAATCTCAAGAAGAACACTCAACTTTCTCTTGAGAGACTTTTCAATCGATTTCTCTGGTCGGGTAGTTATTCTAATAAGCATTGGACTTCTTTTCATAAAGTTTGCAAGCCTATTTCTGTTGGAGGGTTAGGGCTTAAAAGTCTTAATCAAATCTCTAATATTAATAAGTGCAAGCTTTGGTTTAAATTTCGCTCTAATGATTCATTATGGGCTAAATTCCTTTATCATAAATATTGCCCTTATCATCATCCGATTGTTGTTCAATGGAAGGCTGGTGACTCTAGAATTTGGAAAGTCATTCTTAAAGAGAGAACTCTGGCTCGTAATTTTATTTTTTGGGATGTTGGTGAGGGCAATATCTCGGTTTGGAATGATAAGTGGGGGCTGGGTGACAATCTCACGTTGCGGCAAGGTACAATTATCTCGGATCTTTGGCATCAAGGTAATTGGAATGTCAATAAATTAAATGATCATTTTGGAGCTCATGAGGCGGCTAAGATAGCTAAACTTCCCATAAAGGATACTATGAAGGACTCTCCTTTATGGAAATCTACTGCTTTTATTTCCCCTGCCAAAATGTTTTATACATATATTTATCCCTATAGTGCTTGGAGGTTGAGTAATGTTATTTGGAACAAGCTTATCTCTCCTTCTATCTCGTTTTTCTTATCGATATTTTTCTAAATTTTTTGTCTTTGGATGATATTTTGAAGCTTAAAGGTTTGAAAATGGTGTCCCAATGTTATTTATGTAAAAAGGACTCCGAAACGGCTGCGCATCTATTTTTTCTATGTCCTTTTACTGCTGATATTTGGAATATATTGGGTAACCATTTCAATTTAAAATAACCGCTTTCTTTTTTTATTGAGGATTATCTTTATACTTGGAAAATTATTTTTTCGGTGGATAAAAATCTGCGGTGGTATCCTCTTGTATCCTCTTGTGTTTCTTTCTTTGGTTCATCTGGGTGGCGAGGAATGAGGCTAAGTATGGTAACAATTTGTCTGCTCCTTATATTACTATCTTTAATATCTTGGCTCACTTCAAACGGGTCTACCTTTTCATATCTTTGTCGGGTGATATTATGCAGTCTAAAGTGGGTAGGATGACCATCTTCAGATGACAACCCCCACCTACTGACTAGGTTAAATTTAACATGGATGGCAGTTGGGTCTCCAACGCGGCTGGTGCAGGTGGGGCTTATGGAATTATTTTGGACAGTGTTTATATTATTTTGTCTCTCCGATTTGTGTCGCCTCTCCTTTGAAGGCCGAAAGTTGGGCTTTTCTCTTAGTTGTACAGGTTGGGGCTCGTCTTAAATTTACTAAAATCATTTTTGAGACAGATTCTCAATCGCTTATGGATGAGTTCTACAATACCACTACACCTCGAAGGGATTTGCTTGCCAATATGAATAGAATTCGTGATTATATTAATAGATACAATTTAGTTCTCATCCGTCTTTTATTTACAGAGAAGGTAACTCTCCAGCTAATTGGTTAGCTCATTTGGCCAGAAATTCTATTAATGTTAGCTGTGGCACTTTACCCATATCGCATCTTCGCACTCTTCTGAATGGTCATCTGCTTGACTCTCCTTATATTAGATGCTAATGTTTGGGTTTGCTATAGTTTTTTGCTTTGGGAGGCATAGCATTTATATTGCTCACCTTATGGTATCAATTTCTCCTCATTTGTTTTCGGTTTGGCTGGGCTTCCTACGTTATGCTTTCAATGTTTTACATTTTTACCACCATTACTTTATTTGGTTATGCCTATTTGCTGGAAGAGTGGTTACTTTTTCCTCCACTATACGGTTTCACGGTTTGTCTTATTTGGCTCCCTTGCCTTTTTTCGGCTTGACCTATCACTAATCTTGTTGGATGTAATTTTTTTGGTCAATTCTACAATAGTTGCCGGAAATACTCACTTTTAAGCTAACTCTTCTCCCAGGATTTATGTTCTTTCGGTCTGACCTATTACTAATCTTTGGTTTTACTTGGTTGATGCCTTCGAGGCACCGTGTGAGGCTTTTCTGCCTGCATGTCATCTTTTCTAAGATTGCAACGTCTTTCAAAAGGTGTAATATATTCTTTGGCGCAGGAAAGGATTGGTTAGCGCTGCTCGAAGCATATCTTTTTTGGGTCAATTGTATTTTGGGTTTGATATATCGTTTTGCTTGTGCTTTCTTTTGGCGTCGCGTTGTACTGTGGATTTTAGAACCCCTAGGTTTTATAATGTATTTTTGCTTTTTAGTTGGGAATCCACTATCCCTCTCATATTTTGTAACCTTTTTTGAGTATTAACGCGTAAGGAGCCACGAGTTTCTCTTTTAATTAATTATATATATATTGATATTGATTTGAATTAAAATATTTTATCAAAGCCGAATTATAATGAATTAACATGTATTAATCAAAAAAGCATTGACAAATATTAGCACATACATATATACATTCAAACATACTTACTTTGCAGTCAAACTATGATGTAAACTACCGTCCGGCTAGAGACAGGCCAATATATTAAATACATATAGTTTCAATTGTATTATATTATATTTATCTTTCAAGTACAAAGCAAATGCAAACATCATAAAATTAACTATTTTAGCACAACTATTTAACTATATGATTATACCTACAAATCACATACATACATACATACATACACATAGAGATGTAAATGAGTCGAGCTTGAGCGAGCTCAAGCTTGGCTTGTTCGACATTGTTCGTGTTTAAAATTGGCTCGTGTTCAAAATTAGCTTGGGAACAGTGTGTTCGTGTTTGACTCGATTTAAATATTCTTTTTCGTATTCGGCTAAAAATTGTCTCATTATAATTGATAAGAAAAAATAGATGTAGAGTGTTGAACTCGAACCTACACTAACTCTATGCAATAGAAGACCCAAAACCACATGACTACGTGAGCTATTAAGGTTTAAACTTATATTTAAATATACATATAATATAATATTATATAAATAATATATACAATATATTATTATATAAATAATATATATATATATATATAATTTCTTTATTTTGAGCTAAAATAAGTCGAACACGAGCGAACAAAGGTTATTCGTGTTTAACTCGTTTACTTAACAAGCGAGCCAAACACAAGAAAACAAAGGGTTAACACGTGAACAAAGGGTTGTTTGTGCTCTGTTAGTTTATAATTCTACCTTAAAAAATTTGTTTGTATCGGCTCGTTTACTAAAACAAACAAGTCAAACACGAGCTATTTAATGAGCCGAACACGAGCTGTTCACGAAGACACACAAACATACATACATACATAGCACCTAATTCTTATGCATTTACTTGTCTCACACCCAAAAATATTTATTTTTACAAGTTAAGCGACTTTTCTTATGTTTGAAAAGTTGTATGAAAAGGTGGATTACACTTTTTCCTATAGGTAGGGTGCTTAACTCGTCAAAACCAAAGTTTGGACGTGAGATAAGTAAATGCATAAGAATTGGGTGCTATGTATGAAAAG